GGCGGCCAGGAGGTGTGGGGCTATATAGTAGTCAGGATCCGAATACTCTAAACAAATACCTCAACTATTTATTCCCAAAAGACCCGCGCAAACTTTCCTCAGATCCCTCTCTTGAGTAGGTCACGGCTGGTCTTCGCGCCCCTCTCATGATCCTTCTCGACCTACAAGGCGCGCCTCTTGCAACCCCATGTGGGTCCATCCGACAACTTCAAGAAGAGCTAGTATACCTCATTGCATCAGCTCCACTGACGTGGTAAACATCAGATGAAGCGAATCATCTGATTTGTTATCGTTTCTTTGATACAGATAGGATATCATGAACAAAATACTGAGCAAGTATGCCTCTGTACTTTCTTCGTCGATGTCGCAATCTACAGCAATACAGGTTGATGAGGGAGATGTGTGAGTCATGATACATTATGTTTCTTAGTACGCTTCCAAAGTCCTAGCATCGAACCTGTACGCTATGAAAGGAGAGAAGGACAGCAGTCATTCTCCGGGTCGCCGGCTCAAAAATAGGCTCTATTTGCTGCGGCTCATCGTCATGGTGTTTCACATGCGTTTGTGGCTGTGGCTACAATGGCTTACGAGGTAGACAGCCAATGTACAAATCAATGTTATTATTCTCCTAAACAAGTCTGGTAATAATTAAGCAACCTAGGAGGGACGGACGGCTTAGTTGGTCTCGGCGAGTGTCGATCCATGATTCGATCCGCGGGTTATACTTGTGAAGTAATGCCCCTCTACATCACCTCCGCACAGAATGAAGGGAAGACATAAAGAAAAGGAAGGTAGTATGGAGGTGCAATGGGATCCTTGAGTATTGAATTCAGACAATTCTACTACGCTTTCAACAGCGACCGATCGAAATGACACTAGTGAACTAGGAAAAAGACTCGACGTTTCTCTCTTTGCTATCGCATACCCTAACATTCAGAATGGAGAGAAGAGGAGATGGTCCTGAAAAAGAAGGCGTGAGAGAGGAAATGCTTGAAGAGGAGCTCCCGACATTTCCGAAAGGGTCTACCGCGCCAACTGGACCACAGCTGATACATGCCCGAAGTGAAAACCCTGGCATTCCGTTCAAAAGCTTGTCAGGTTGCGGTGATGTAAATGAAACAGAGCGTGGGCATATCGTAAGTGCGTGTGATATGAATCCAAGCCAACGTGAAGAAGATGAGCAAGCAACCCAAATATCGACCGCCTGTACTGTGGACGAAAACATGAACCATGGAGGAAACCAAGTAGAAACGCCTAAATATGTGCAGATGTCACCTCCAACTCTGCCTCCCAAATCAGAGGAGTCCGTGTCAACTTGTAATACGATTGCGATGGGGTCAGGCGAGGAACTTCCTGTCGCAAAACTCAAAGTTATCAAACTGGATGATGCAGATGACGATGAAGATGCTCGTGAGCCACGACTGAAAGCCGGTTCTTCAGCTGATGGGGTTAGTACCGAGCTGCAGCAGTTCAACTTCTCCTCACAAACGTACCATCATATGAAATTAGATTATTTCAGAGTGTATACTACGGCTGTGGAGAAGCACGCGTAAGTGTTGAAAATGGCAACCTGATTTTTGTAAAGACGAAAGCATTTCTTCTTCTCACTCCCTAAGCTAGCTAGTATACGCTCCCGAGAATCAGGTCGTCTTTACCGTGCATAGTGGATTTTCGACAATGGTCCTCATAAGCTAAGCCGATACCATTCAAATTAAAGGCGCCGCTCACGTTAAAAATGGTTTCTAAGATTCCCCTGTTGAATAAACTGTGACCCCCAACGATAGTCCAACTTAAGTTGCGCTGTTGGGTCGGAAAACGGCCGAGGTAGGGCTTCATAAGGCCGAAACCGGCTTAGCCGACGTACACACCCGAAGCGGACGAGTTCTCAAGCGTGGTAAGAGCTGTCGAGCTTACATCATTCGCATAGGGACCCACACCTTGCATGCAGACGGCGTATCGTAGCTAGCTGTATGCAGTGGCGCGCACATTTGAACAACTCGTCAAGTACCGTTTCCATGCAAGATGTCGTTACAGTCTAGCCAAGACCTGAGTTCACCTATTTTTAAGGCTTTTGAAGTTCATACGCCGATTTCCGCGTTTTCCTCTCCACTTCAGCACTACTCTGTACTACCACTTCCATTATTCGCCCAGGATCTACATAATCCAGAAATAGGGTGAACTGTGCCTTTGAATTGATAATTGAAAGTCTGTTTGAATTGTCATGTCAGAAGCTGTGTAGTGGAAATATTCGAAGATTTCAAGCGTCTTCAGATTCAGCTTGTCTTCAAGACGGTGAAATATAGGTAGATTCAGCAGAATGTCACGATTCTCTGTGCGGTTTGTTAAGTCGACCTGACCGAGCGGAGAGTGTGCTTAACTCCTGGTAATCAGTCAAACAAATTACAGACAGACATGTTGGTCGCTCTTGGAATTTTGTTCGGAACTATGATCCTTTCTTTCATTATTCTTCTCGACCCTGCAGGAAGTAAACGCCCTCTCTTTCTGTCTATTTTCGCGCTTTTCAAGGTAAGCCCACTTCCTTTTGTCATGCTTCTTCACTCAGTAAGTGTAAAGAACAGTTCAAAGTGCACCTCCGAATCACCTCAACTCTCTCGTGCTCATGTACCGGTTCACATTGGAACTCCCGTTCGCTTTTCCCATTTATACTTTCGAAATCAGTGATATTATTATATTAGGTTGGAAGGAAAGTCCTGCAACAAAAAATTTGAAGCATCAGCAATTTGTATCAACAGTGGTAGTAAGAGTGATAAATTTGTAGGACCTTCCTCAGGTAATCAACTCATGAGTAAATAAGGGCGCGTGTGGGCTTTAGCAGCATTACGGTCAATGAATGGACAACACCCAGTTCGTACCATACCCTTCTACTAAGCACGCCAAGGGAAAAACGCGGGTGTAGCGGCTCAAATTATCAGCAACCTGTTCAATGCTGGCACTGCTCACCGATCAATGGTCAACAGTCGGTTGGATCGCTTCACCGGAGGAGATACTAGCCTTCGAAGTCACGCAAGCATCGTCTCTTGATTCAATGGAGGTAGGAGGGATCCATCCACTATGAGTTGCTAAACGCAGACTAGATGGACACAGCTATCGGTTACCCCTGTGAACCCCGAAATTTGGCCAACAGGGTTAGAGAAACACTATCAAAACCGTAAATCAGGTCCTTACTACGATTCCAATTGGTTCGAGGTTGTTCATCAGTCGTACTCTCCAAGTGTTGCCCCTTTTACCTACCATGCGCTCTTCCTTCTTGAGCATACCGTTGTGGAAAAATAATTCGTAACTTAATGTGACCTGAAAACGGCAATCAATTACTTCTTTGAGTCACAGCCTCCTCACTCCTGGATAAAAGGCATCAGTGATTTACTCAAAGAATAATAGAAGGTTGTTGACTTCTTGGTAAATATAGATTGGCTTGGAAAATTTCAGAAACGCTTTGAAGAATACCTTCATTGTGTTGCAGGACTTTCCTTCCAACGTAATAGATTTATGCATGAAATTTTTTCTCGGTTTCTTTGTAGATATCTCAATAGCGAGCCAACCTCAGGGTTAGAGGTATGCACCATCCACAACTTGATGCCAACGCTCATGCACAACTTGATGGCAACGCTCAGGCAACTTATCATTTTTATCCTTCCTCCCAAGAGAATGGGGCTGGGCTGGGAATTGAAGAGGACGTCGAGTGCCTTTCCGACCTCATCCTCTGTTTCAAACCTTTTTCCATCTAGAGAGCGCTGCAGGTGGCTGAACAGCCAGTAAAGGGAAGGAGCGAGGTCAGGGCTGGGCGACAGTCAGTCATCCTCCACTCCAACTCGGGCTGGGTTGCCTTTGCGGTATAAGGTCGGAGTTGTCACAGTGGATGAAAATTTCCGCATTCGATCCACGAGTACGGACGACGTGATCTTTTAATTTCCGCAGCTGGGTAACGTATGTGGAAGCGTCAATCGTCCGTTTTTTCTAAAGCAGCTTCCGGTGCTCAATGCCACTTCTAGACCACCAACAAGACAGGAAAACCTTCTTGAGGTGATGATCGGCCGTTGGAGTGGCTTCTGGCTGTTCTCATTTGTCAACCCACTGCCGCTTCCTCACGAGAATATTGTAAAGGGCCTCTTTTCATCTCCAGCAGTCATCGAGTTGAGAAAGTGGAGCTTCTTTGGAGCTTGTGAGGAGAGAAGTGCAGGTGGCCACCCTCCTCGTGAGGTCATAAGCGGACAGTTCATGTGGGACCCATCGGCCGAGCTTTGCTACCTTGCCGAGCTGTTCCGGTTTAAGTCCGAACATCGATTGATTATGGACCCCTAGTGAACTAGTTCAATAAGTAGCCATAGGGATTGAGTAACAAGCTTCACAAAAGCTGGTTCTTAACACTATGGTGTCTATAGGTGGTAATGCAAGGGTGGGATAAAGAACTCCGAAATAAGAACATGCGCAGCAACTCACATCTAACGAAGGGGCAGTGTTCATTGAAAGGTGATCCCTTTCAAGTGGACTGTTGTAGAGGAGAGGTCGACTATTGGGCTGCTAGGTAATATTTGACTTACTGTCGACCTACTCTTTTGAAATGAAGTATCTCAGATGCTTCCCCCTCAATTTCTAGTTCTGAAATTCTAGTTTTTTNTTTTTTCTTCTTGAATATACCTTTACGTCAAATATTTATTTCTAACTTTCAGTTAATTGTGTTTATAGTTGGGTATTTCGGCGCCAGAAACGACAACAGAGTACTTCTTATCTGTACCATTATATTAACTGTAGGTTTCATATTTCCATGATGATCATGTTTCAGTACAATAATTAAGGCGAAACCAAATGATGGGATCAATCAAGACTGGAAGGGAATACGCTGGGCCGAACCGTCGCATTTGGGCCTGCTGGGGTGTTACAAAGCACAACTACCCATTCTTTCCGTCTCTGAAAGAGGCGGTTGGGAATCTGGAAAAGGGAATTTATGCCACTTCTGGAAAACTCGGTCCTAAGTGTGGCACCTCGCAATGGACACGTGGACAGTCGTTTAGAAACAGAAATTAGTAGAAATCCGTTCGGTTCATGGTAAAAAACCAATATATTGGAACCAGGTTTCTTATGTCACTCATCATCTTATGTGGACCAACAACAGGGATAATGGACCTTGCAATCTGAGAGTTCTTAACAGGGATAATGAAGCTTTCAACCTGAGAGTTCTTCATAGGAGAAATGAAACGTTAGACGCGAATGGAGGCAGTACTGCATCATTCCAGTGTTCAGACGGCATTTTTTCAGGCTGTTGCCCTTGTGGGTTCGGTATATTTTGCTGCCAGAGCCATTGTAGAAGTTACAGACTACCCAGGTGAACAGGCACATTACTACAAAGTACTTGAAAAAGATAATCATCAGGGTTGAAAGGATTCAAATGAAACCAACCTCATAAACTATCAGCACTAGGTTAGGAAACAATGTCTCCTTGAAGGTTCATTGGCCGAGCCTTACTGGTTCATGCTATTACCTACTATAACACGGCTCAGAGGGGTACAAGTTGCGGTGACCAAAAATAGCGAACAAAGCGCAAAAATTGACGGATTCAGAAAAGTAGAGAACTTCTCAAGGGTAGTTCCGAACATTGCTGATATCGTAAGTTACTTGGATATGATTGCCTCTGTAAATCAACGACATTTCAGCAAAGACATCCATAAGAAATTTCATCATATGTGTTGTCGAACTAGCAGGTGTGTCTTGGCTCGTTATTTACTAGTTATAGCTTTCATAAATATCTGATAGTGGACGTCTGGGATGGATTTGATGCCATGACGCTTCTATATGTAGGCGATAGTGTGTATAAGCCCACCTGGCGAAGTAAAACGCCATGGAATTGATTCTCTTAGCTCTTAAAAATTTGTACAACTAAATGTGTGTGTGAGTGATGTTTGTGTTTGTGTGCATGCGTTTACGAGGGTTGCCTTTTATATTTTGAGATTTGGCAACACTAGTGTAGCAATCTAGCAACTGACACCACTATCGTAAAGTTTGACTATTTTGAGGTTGCGTTGCAAAATTTGAGCGCGATTTGTACTGTTTACACCAAGTTATAAGATTTTGTTTAGGCCAAGTTATGGGGTTGAATCGTGAGCATTTTCGCGCGATTATTTTCTACAACTTTCGACGTGGACTAACTCAACAGCAATGCATGGATGTACTTAGTTCAATTTTCGGTGATGAAGCTCCATCCAGGGCCAGTGTTTATCGATGGTACAGTGAGTTCACCCGAGGTCGTAGTTCACTCGAAGAAGAATTTCATGGANTCGTCCAAAATCAGTTGTTGTTCCGGAAACCGTTGATACTGTGCACAAACAAATATTGCAAGAGAGTCATGTGGCCTATCGTGAGATTGGGACAACCTTAGGCATTAGTGGGACCAGCATACATTCAGTATTGCATGAACATTTGACTGTAAAAAATTGTTTTTGAAAATTTTGTCAATCCCCCGAAAAAAGCACTCGTGTCGATTGGTCGAAGGAAGTGCTCAAAAAATACGATCGTGGTGCTCCGAAACACGTCTATGACATCGAGACAGGTGATGGATCATGGATTTATGCGTATGAGCCCGAAAGGAAACAGCAGTCGACCGTATGGGTATTTCAAGAGGAGCCAAATCCAACAAAAGCTGTCCGCGCACCAAGCACTTCGAGCAATTGATTTCCTGTTTCTTTGGAAAACCTGGACATGTCGGAACCATACCACTACGACAAGCAGAACAGTCAATTCTGAGTGGTTACCACCATTTGTTTGCCAGTTGACTTCTAAAAAATCAGGAAAACCAACTGCTGAAGATGGATCACTCATCACCACGACAATGCAAGCTCCCTCACATCGGCTCAAACAACTGCATTTTTGAGCACTCAAAACAACGATTTGACAGTTCATCAGCCATGTAGTCCCCGGGTGACTTCTTCTCATCCCGCACGTAAAAAATAAAATGAGAGGTCAACGTTTTTCGACACTTGAAGAAGCGTTGTTGCGTTCAGAATACATGTTTTAGAGTTACCTACATCAGAGTGGCAAAACTGCTTCGAAAATTGGTTCGAGCCCATTCAAAAGTGTATAGATCTTAATGTGGAGAACTTTGAAAGGCAGTAAAGTGATTTTCAAAAAATGGAATTTGTTTCTGTTCTCAAATCTCAAGATATAAAAGGCAACCTACGTATGTGTATGTGTGTGTATGTGTAAGCGATGGTCACGTGAGTGAGGGTGCGTGTGGGTGACGACATTTTAGAAATTTCAATTCCTGTTCTCTGGACTCAGAACGTTCAAAGTTGGAAGGAGTACAAGCGGCAGGAACGCTCATGGCAGATGATAGGAGCGACTCCGTCCATGGGGGCGGGCCTTGCGCGGAAATCGGTTTTTGAATAAAAAACCGCAACTGCTGATCCCTTGGACCCAAAAGGTTAAAATTTTGCACGCGTCAGGCCAGCTCTAACACAAAATAAGGAAGAGCCTGACGTGACTAGGATGATCTGATTGACAAATATAAATAATCCATATATTTGTGAATATATCAGCGGATCACTGATGTACCTATGAATGTGCGTCACCCACGTTAACAACTGAGAACCTAAGAAAATTCTATTTCAGTTCTAATCCACATAATCTACTATTCCGTGAAAATCATGTAATCAGAAGATCAGACGACAGAAGATTTTTTAATGAAACGAAAACTTCATGTTATTTTAGTTTAAATAAATTGTTTTACTAACCATAAAGACAATCCACGGTTAATTGGCATTATGAAATCCTGATCAGCACACGTCTAGATGTTGACTTCCGCACTGTGATCGTCTTCGAAACACATAGACTGTCTTCTCAGGCTGAGTAACGACCTAACTAGGCCTTCAGTAATCATACATCCACTTCTGAAACGAATGCAATAGAGACTGTTTAAAATCAGGAAATTAGTTATAGAGAAAGAGTTGATACAGTTGGGGAACGAAGAACAGTGGGGTCCTTTCATGCGGTAGAGAGCGAACAAGTTGGTGAGGGACATATTTTTCCACTTCGAATTTGTTGTGAGCCCTTGCATTCGACCTCCATTGAAAATATCAGTGTATACATAGTATTGATCAGATGCGAACTGTCCTGTACTGATATGGTACTATCGATACTAAAAGGATACTACTATCAGATTATTCTGTAAAGCTACGGAACGACAGTGCTTCTGTGCCCATCCTACATAACTTACATACCTACGCGGGGGTAAACTCCTGAAAAAAAAGATGTACATGTATTATATAATATGCATATACCTACAACAGATTCTCAGGCATTATAAGGATAGGTCAAAGGCAAAGTATCCACCTGAAACAAGTACGAATAGAAGCTAGAAAAACGAAGGATTTGCTATTCCAAACAGCTATCTAGAGGGTATGGGTATCCGTCAATGATAACAGGTGAGAAGGGGATTGGTACCTCATGCTTATAACCTCAAGCGAATATCTGTGGATGTTGTGAGTACATGTATCTAAGTCGACAGCGAACTGATGAACGACCTAGCACCGGAGCTGTGCAGAAGGAAACGCGCGGCGTGGGGAGCATTTGAAAACACCGAGAGAGTAGTGAAGCAGTCGTAAGGAGTAAAGAAGTACCTGCTCCTCCCTGCCCTTCCTGTTTTGACGTACGCCCCGGAGACTTGGATTTTACCAAAGCAGGATGAGCATGCGGTTGAATTTCCCTGTACACGCAAGTGCAGAGAGATCCGAGCTCCGTCATCGAACGAAGGTTAGGAATGCCGCTGATTACTCCGAGAAATCGAAGATTAGGTGGGCCGGACACGTTATGCGATATAGCAATGGCCGTTAGACCAGGGCGGTTACTGACTGAATCCCTTGGGACATCTAGCGAACTCCAGGATGGCCGCCAACGAGATGGTCAGACTTGTTCACGAAAGCTCTGAATGAAAGGAATGTTGGACCTCGTGTCCCTGAAGCGAGGACGATTCACTGGACCACTCTGGTTGTGACAGGAACGAATGAAGACGTTACTTCTGCCCGCTCGAGGAAGTCGATGACCAACGTGAAGACAGGAGATACAGGTGATAGTTTTATGGAGTAAGAAAAGATCACGCCTCGAAATATTATCAGACCGTTCCCATACAGCCCTTCCCAATCATAATTTTCGTGCAGTTTACCTATGTACCACAGGAGCTAACATGTGTGTCAAGAATAGTGGATAATCAGACGGATATCATGATAAAATCTCATTGTTACGTCCAATACCTCCGTGGAGAGGTCGAACTGCCTTGCTAGCTATATTAATGGATTTTTATTATAATTGTTCACATTTTCTTCGTATCTATTACCGGTGTTTATCTCTTCAGCTGATGTTGAGAATAGCAATTTATTTAGTCCGAATTTGTCTTGTCAACTTTTGAGTCTTATGAATGGCTTGCATCTACTCGTCCAATTGTTGCCAGAAATAAGGCCGTCATCTTCTCTGACCAAGGGCCGTTCAAGCTCCGGATAAGGCGACTCAGAAAAGTAGGATGGTGGCGCAAAGGATGTCGTCGACATTTCTTTTGGTGTAAAGTATAAAAGGGGAAGTCTTCGACTTTATTCAATCCCGTTTTGAGATACACCGTCGCATTCAAGTTCTATTCAGAATTCTAGTGGCGCGTTGAGTACGTATGGGACCTATACAATGCACTGCAGTGGCCAGTCTAGTGTATGTACTAGTAGGTGCTTTCATTCTCACAGACGAGTCATATACCAATTATCCGAAATTGGAAGAATAAGAGGCTTTGTTGACCTGGACAGATTCAGATAGGAGTTCCCCTAAGCTTGCATGTGTGACAGTGCCCTACGTATTATACTACTACACATCCTCTGCTCCCGACCCTTCCTACCCCCACCCCCTCCACCCTTTTGATTCGGTATAAAATTCAAAAGTGTAATAGTGCGGGAAGGATAATCTACCAAACAGTTCCATAACGTTTGCTTAAGCTCGATTTTTCTTTATATTTCTTGTCTGGGCAGAGTAGGAGCAGGTTTCTGAAGACGCTCAGACCTAACAGGATCCGTGTTAGTAGCTGAATCGGTCACATATTTGTTGTAATGTTCCATCGCTACTGTATCAAGGCAAGAGAGTAGCAAAGTAGTGTAAGGGAATCGGCTCGTGAATTCACCCAGTAACAATATTCCCGCAAACTGCTTCGGCTAAACTTCATTTTGATATTTGCGTTTTGACTTCCCGTGAATCTGAGGACACCTTTGGATTACGGGGTCATACCATGACACACGATTGGGCATCGAATAAGAAAATTCTAGAGTGATTATAGAAATCCGTGAAAAAAGAGTTAACTCTTGCCAATACAAAGGAGCTGTATCATACTTGGGCTATTCTATATCTATTAGTCGGATCGTGCTTTACAGGTTACTATGAAATCTTTGTAGTAGCACTTTTCGATTGCCAATTTATTTGTAGTGTTAGGAAACCTTTAGAAGCAATTCAGCGTTAACAATGTCACTGTTGTGAGTGGTTTGTTTACGTGTTTACCTATTGCTTGCTTTTTTAATGACGTGTTTTGAACTTCAGATGATCTTGAGGACCCTGCTGTATTTGTTAGCGGTTTTCTCACAAACTGCAGCGCTTCATTCTAAGGTGAAGAGCGCCGACACTTTTGTGGCCCTTAAAATGTTTGTCGACCATAGAATGACGTGTGTATACCAACCACTGAAGAAGAACGTGTCGCTTAACATAATTGCGAAGGTAGGTTATGGCTTTTTAGGAACCAGTTTACCCGCAGTACCCTGAAGTAGCATAATACGGGAGCCTACTCTAGAAATTCGTGGGATCGTCGTCCTACTATGAAGAGAGTAGAACCACTAAGGGAATTGTTGCAGTAGGGAATCGCGTACCTTTCAGAGGCCAATTCAGTGATGAATTGGTGACCTATGTATCGTTTACGAAGAAAAAATGAACAAAGAAACTTATTTATACGGCTGGAAGAAAGAAAAACCCCATGTGGGATTCGTAAACATGTGATATCAATGCGAAAGAGTAGGAGCTTGGGGAGGCATTTGGGTAATTCAGGTGCTGGCCAAAACGATGCTCGAGACCCTCCTTTGGGATAATACTTCTTTGTCGTGCACGGTGTGTCGATACCTCACAACCTAGCCGGCCCCGAATGAACCGGACTCATCGGTATGAACCAACTCCGAAGTTGCTTTGAGCCGAATGAATTCTTTTTTATTCAGATTTAATCCTTCCACCGTAATCATAATCGAATATTTCTGATTTGATACGGAGTCCCAGAGAGTGTGTGGGAAAAGTAAATGGTACGAACGGGACCCCAAAAAAAAGATATCGCTTTGGTGCTCTTGGTGTTTTCACGTTATGTTGGGGATGCACAATTTTTCGGGTGGTATATTGCCCATTCCATAAAAAACGCAGTATTCAATTAACATTGAAAAAAACCGGAATGTTTCAGGCACCTAATGCTTTGGTGAAGCTTCGGCTAACAACGCCATCTGGGCAGAAACCATCCAACCTGAGGGACAATTCTCCTTCAGCCCTCATACGACACAATGTTACCCAAGAAGGTCAGTTGTAAACCGTCGTTGCCCACTTGCAAAAAAAAAAGGAGCAATGCCAAACAGACAACTGTTATATCCAGTGACATCTCCATTCGTCCCTTTCGTCTCTTTCGCGAGCAATTATCACCTATCACCTGTATCATCTGTCGTCTCGTTGATCATCGGCTTTCTCGAGCGGGCGCCAGTGACGTCCCGTTCGTTCTGTCACGAGCCAAAGTGGTCCAATGAAACGTCTTCGTTTTAGGATCATTCAACATTCCTTTCGTTCAGAGCTTTCGTGAAGAAGTCTGTCCATCTCGTTGGCGGCCGTCCTAGAGTTGGTTTGATGTGCCGAGGGATCCAGTCAGTAACCGCCCTGGTCCAACGGTCATCTCTATATCGCATAACGTGTCCGGCCCACCTGATCTTCAATTTCTTGGCGTAGTCAACGGCATTCCTGATCTTCGTTCGTTGACGGAGCTCGGAACTCCGGTTTCCCTTCTGCACTTGGTGTATAGGGAACTTCCGAGCATCGTCCTTCCCAAAGCGCGTTGAGTAACGCTGACAGCATGCTCATCCTACTTTCGTAGTGTCCAAGTCTCCGAGGCGTACGTCAAAGCAGGAAGGAGAACAGTGTTGAAAAGGTAAGCGAGGAGCCGGATGTTCTTTGACTTCTTCACTACTCTCTCGGTATTCTTAAACGCTCCCCACGCGGCGCGTTTCCTTCTGCATAGCTCAGGAGCTAGGTCGTTCATTATGTTGACTTCCTGACCTAGATACACATAGCTAGAGCATTCAGAGATACTCGTCCGTCCGAGCAACAGGTACCAATAGGTTTTTCAGGCGTATTGCCTACGGTAGGTTTATTCGTAAGCAATCTCCCACAA